GAAAAAAAAAAAAAAATACATATATACGTACTGTGAAGATAAAGTTGAAAATAAATAGTAAATACTTGATGGTATTTTCACCGCAATTCATTGTGTAAAAACAAATATTTGAATATTTTATTCACTCACTATTTAAAACAAACAATAACTCCCGCTATACTAAAAATCTAATATAATTAATAATAATTATATATTACTGTGGATAATACCAATTTATTTATATATATATATATATATATATATATATATATATATATTATGTAGTAATATTGGTGCTATTGTTATTGGTACTGTTGTTGATTTAATCAACAATTGTGGGCTGTTAATAACAAATTGATTATCATGATAAGTGCACTTAAGTTTCTACTGTTGCTTATAATAAAATCTGTAAGGCCGCTTGTTGTAATGAAAAAGTATATTGATTCAAGATAATACGATGACAATGTACAAGTTGAAGATAAAACTACTGGTAGTATCAAAGCAGGACTCATCGTTAGAATTTGTCCATTAAGTTTTTTGGTATATGTACTAATATGACCGCGATCAACAAGTCATTCAGAGTTGCATTTCAAATGCTGCTTTGCAATGTTAACGGATAAAATTTATTACTGCTTGTAGTTTGATTATAATAAAACAAAAGAGGTAAAATCACCTTGAAGTAATACAAAGTAAAAATATATTTAAATTTGGTAAGTGATCAATGTTTTTTAAAAATAATTTACCGTAAATTTATTTTTGGAATGATATTTTATATGAGAAAAATATAAATTTTTAATTAAAAATAGTTTCGTTAGACAATAGTTAATTAAACTTTCTTCTTAAAGCGCACTGTTGTATCTAAAAATCCACTCGGACGTCCTTTTACTATAATTTTAGCTGGAGTTTTTATTTGTCTCAAATCTTCCGTTTTCTCGTCTTGAATAAATATTTCACTCTCATTATCTTCTTTTTCATAAATTGATAATTCTTTAAAACTATTTTCTAAATCATTAATGGCATCTTCTTCTATGACCTTAACTCTCAATCCATTTGACAATTTTTTAATTAAGTCATCGAGAACAGCAATATTTGCTTCGAAATCCACGCCACATGAGATACTAATAATATCAACAAGTTTTGAAGCTTTTGTATTTACAATTTTTCTTTTTTCATTTACTGATGGAGGTTTTGTTTTTATTTTTTTTGTAACCGAAATGGGAGATTGTATTGTGTCTAATGTGTTCTCAGTTGTAAATATTTGCGAAACTAATTTCTCTTTAATCCAACGTTGATTCTGTACAAAACATTCATCATACAATCTTAGATTTAAAGCGTGTCCTATTGCAAATATATGCTTACAAGGTAAATGCATGGATATATAAAATGGACACTGGCATGTTCTTACTGATGTTTCAAAATTACCAAATTTACACGTGTCTGTCAGCTTATCGATTTCTGGACAATTAATATTTTCACTAGATTTCATTTCTAAGAAAACTTTATTACAAGCATATTTCGACAACTTATTTATGTACTGTTGCCTTGCACTGTCCTCAACAGTACGGTTTGGTCTTTTTAAAAATTGTTTTGCAGTTCTTAATCTGCTTTGAGTTTTGTGACTGCTATACCATTCAAAAAAATCCTTGATGGTTATGCTTAGAGGTGAGTTCTTTTTGCATACTTGTTTTATCTTAGCATTAATTGACTCTAATCTGTTATTAGTCTTATTTCCGAGACTATTGATTGCTATATTGTAGACGGTCCACTCATTTTTTATGTTATGCCAGTTTAAATTATAATAATCGATGAATTCTGGAGAAGCAGCAAGATTCAATTGAAGATACAAGTCATCATAATTCTTTTTAGAAGAAGCATACACAAGTTGTTCTATAATCTTAGCAACTTCGATTCTTTCCTCACTCGTTAAATTTTTGTCAGGTTTATTAATTTCTTTTTTGAAAATTTTTAAAGAGTGAAAAATACAAATATAGGTGGGAATGCCAGGAAAAAATTTTTTAATTGCATTACGTTCAGTCTGGTCTTTATCAGTCATAAAGCAATGTATTTTTTTACAAGACTCTTTGTTGGATTCCTTAAAAGTCTTGACCATCCACTCCATGACATCAAGTTCTTCTGTTGCCAACAAGCCAACTCCAACCACTTGTCCTCGACCATTTCCATCTTCAACCAAAAAAATCATCATAGTCATCCCGTTGTTTGTTAATTTATAGGTACCGTCTAGAAAAACTATCTCCGGCCAGCTTTGAAAATCGCTTCTCATCGTTGGTGTCGAATAAAATATACCTTTACAAGTTGATGTTTCAGTATCGTTGTAAACATAAACATCTGCATCTGCAATTTAAAAATTTTTATTAAACACGACATTACGGAAGCAGTTGAGAATTAAATAAAACTTATATTAAAAGTCTTATGACTTATATGATAATAAATATTCTACAAACAGGTTAGTAATGAAAATATTACTAGGAGAGAATTTAATAGCAAAAATTTCTGTAATATAATAATAATATTATTTTATTTCTACAACACTTAGTGTTTTTTACAAAGTTTTGCCTTATTTAATCATAGTTAACTAATAACTCATTCCCTCTACCTCCCCTTTTTACGCATTTTCAGCCCATGCGTCCAGGACTCCCAGCTTTTTTTAGCAAAAATTTTTAATTATTGTTAGAAATAAATGATAAAAATTAAAGTATTAACGAATTGTACTGAACAAAACTAACAATTTTTAATATTAATAAGAATTAACCACCTTGATTGTTTAGAACTATGTATCTGATCAATATTGTAAACTATAACATCGTATGTTGAAATTTTTTTATCAGAAAATATAATTTATAGAATTAAGAACTTGACATTTATAAACATTCAATGTATCTACTTTGTAACTCATAAAAACTTTTTGTTATAAAGCTCATGTATTACATACATATAAATATATGATAAACTGAGTAAAATTGAAATAGTATAAATTATTACCCTCAGAAATCATCAAAACTACTACCCAAAAATTATAAAAAAATCACAAATTATTACATTTTAAAAATATAGCCAAGAATTATTGAATTATTAAATGTACGTCTATTATTTTTTCTAAAAATAACTAAATAATCTTTTAAGTCTAAAATATTTATTTACTTTCGTAAGTGTGAAGCTCTGATCGAGTGTATTTACTTCAATGTATAGAATAACATAATAGTCTATATTAGAATTATGAATATATGTAAAGATGGAGAATATATTTCATTTTTCATTGTTTTGTTTGCTCGTGAACTCTTACAACCTTAGACAGTAAAAATCACATTTCAAGATAGTAGCTTTAGTTATTATTGATGGCAACTATTATAATGTCTATTACAAGTACATCTATACTTTCTTGTAGAAGCTTCTTTCAAGTATTAATTATAATTATTTTTTAAATTTCTGAATAAAAAAATATTACCAACTTACTAGGAAGTCCAAAATGCCTTTAATTAAAATTGTCTTTTAAAAATTTTTAGAAATAAAAGAGGCAACTTACTATGACCCAACCTTAATTGTAAAACTAATTGTCTACATAATCGAAAATTTTATTACCTTTCATGATTATTAAAATTAGAAATTAAATATCGAAAACAATATAATTAAATTCTCTCCGTTCATGTGTGTAATTATGTAGAAGACAGGCGTGTTATTATATACTATAGTATAACTATTATCGCTTGTAACTTTGTATGAGCGTTACGTGTTGTCGGTGAATCTATTTAATAAAACTTATGAATATTCTCATCTGTCATTTGTTTTAGACGTTTACAGATACACAAAAATAATTCATAAGGACAAAATAAGCGCTTTGTATCAACAAAGTCAGTCAGACTGTGCAAAGAACATGATTATTTTTAAGACAAGATATAAATTTACGTACATGAGCATATATATCTATGTATAAAATATTTATTTGTACGTTTTTTTGTAAATAAACTTACTATAAGTCGTCCTTAGTAGTTCAACTATTGAGAGTAAATTATTCGCTGATGAGTTCGTACACTTGCTTTTCATGTTGTGAAATGTTTTTAAGTCAAGGGTTTTATTATATTTATTCATCACCAAGTTTTGTAATCGTTTTTTGTCAGCATCTACACTTAACATCTCTTCAACAGCACGCTTTTCTTCTGGAGTCAGTTTATTATCCTCGGAGTAAATATCATAGAAGAGCTGAAAGAGCAGGTTAAAAAATTGACTTTAAACAGAAATATTTTAATTTTATACTTTTCAATACTGATATAAATATCTTTTAAAATTATTCAGATTTTATACATACAAGAAACTTCAAATTGCAATCAAACTCTATGCAAAATAATTACACATAGTTACTTCTTATAGCAATTGAAAATATTTTTATACATATAATAAATACTTAAAAATATTCATCATATTTTAATTTTTTTTTTTTTTTTTCAAAAAGTGTGGAAATAACTTACTGCAGTATTTTTATGATGATTTTCATGTTCCAAATGTAATTTAGTGATTTCTAAGTACTTGGAGTTTTTTAACGCCAAAGAGATTGAACACGGACATTCCATTTTATAAGTGCTGCAAAATATTCATAAGTTTTAGATTTTTAATGAAATATTAACTTTCAATAATTTTAGTAATAAATAGTAAGTATTTAATAAAAGAAAATATGTTTTTAATAATAATAGTTCTTGATTACTTGGTTTCACGCTCAGTTGCTTGAGATGCACGACTACGACCGAATTTACAGTCAAATTTTACATCATGATATACAAATTTATCAATCATTGATTGATCTACACCCCGATCAGCTCTTAACCGGTGAGAGTTATCGATTATGAATTCAAGTTTATTATCATTTTTATACTTCTTGAATACACGATGCCAGAATTGATAGCTGTCAAACCTTCTGCCAACATAAAACAGTTGACTAGGATCCATCTAAATAAATTATAATATTATTTAACATAAACAAATAATGAAGTAACATTATAACCTTTATTAAAATAATTTTTAATTACTTTTTAATTAATATTAAACCCTTCGTTACTCGCGCTATAGAGCGATTTGCCGCCCAACACTACTTAACCTAATAGAGTTGGTGTGAGTGCGAGTAAGACACTAGAGAAAGCGCGAGTAACGGAAGGTTAAACTGACTTATTGTCTACTTACTTTATAAAATTTATTAAGCTTGTATTTGCGAATCTGTATATTCTACTATACGTCACTTTAAATCTTTTTTCTATAATTACATTAATTAAACTTTTTTAAATTTCTGTTACTGGATTATAATTCGTATTGGTTTACTTCCTATCATCTCAGTACTACCATCTTAGCACGTATAATGCTGCTATGGTAATAGCCAAAAGACAACTCAAACCAGTGTACCATCTGTTGAATTTATATAATATTCAAATGCTGCCAGGAGTCACATGTTCGAAACCTATTTTATCGATCGTCACTACAATTTATTATAACTCTAACTCGTACACTGAAAATGACATCTACTAATAGTCATTCACTTTTAGTATCTGGCTTACAATTAGATCACTTTCCGTTAGAGTTAAACGCCATTATTTCTTTGAGCCTTTCCTTTGTTCAGCGACCATTATTCTAATAATTATATTATCAATTGAAATAAAGTCAAATATGGCTATTAATCAACCGTTATTCAAGAAGGGCAATTTATTTAATAGCTTTAAGGAGTTTCAGGAGAGATTAAAATTATATAATTCAAGTACCGGTTATAATTTTAACACTAGGCACAGCACAACACTCTCCAACACAGCAACTACAAAACAACAATTCAATAAAGATATAATATATTGCGATAAATATTTAAAGTGTGAAATTAATCCTAAAAAAGCTGCTCTTGAAAAGTTTCAAGAAGAAAATCCTGAGTAAGCTATGTTATTTTTTGTTAAAAATTTTTATGTTAGACATTAAGGGGGAACACCACTGTGATGATCGAAAAAAAGAGGTGATTTTCGGGAATTTTTTCGGCAGGGAAAATAAAGGAATTTGGGGATCGGATTTTTTTTATTTTATTAAAGGTACATTAAAGATTATTACCCTAAACTTTTATTAAAAAATATTTAATTATTACAAAGTTATTAACAATCTCGTAGAGCCCTAGAAAAAATTTTCCCCTCTATGGTCGGTTCGATAACTCAAAAACGGATCATCTGAAAATAAAAACCAAATTGCTTTTTAATCAGTAAGGATGTAGTTATCGTCGCACTTACGGAATTTTGAAAATTTTAATTTAAAAAAAAATGGCCACTGATTGAAAATTTTCTCACTATTCTTACTGTTTTTTTTTTTTGTTTTAACCCGGCTAAAAAAATCTTTAAAATAAAAATTTTTCAAATTCCGTACGTGCTAAGAAAAAAAAATTAAAAAGCAATTTGGGTTTTTATTTTCAGATGATCTGTTTTTGAGTTATCGAAACAACCGTGAAGGGGGGAAATTTTCTCCAGTGCTCGACGAGATTGTTAATAAATTTGGAATAGTTAAATATTTTTTAATAAAAATTTAGGATAATAATCTTTAATGTACCGTTAATAAGATAAAAAAAAATCCGATTCCCAAATTCTTTTATTTTCCCTGTCAAAAAAATTCCCGAAAATCACCTCTTTTTTTTCGATCGTCACAGTGGTGTTTAAATACGCCAAATATCATGTTAATCACTGTTCATTATTTTGCAGAATAACTGTAGAGCAATGTCCGGCTGAATTAGTTTTACGAGCCACAAAAGACAAACAGAAGCTACAAATAACAAAATTCAACCCTGAACACGACCATGATCCTTCTGACAAGGTAAAACAAATGAATATTTAATTAAATTTTCAATGATATTAGCAGCTATTGGAAATACTGAGTACTACTAATAAATATACTTTTATAGGAACCGCGACTTACAAAATATAAAAAACTAGCTGCTAGTTTGGCTGACAACAATACAGTTGATTCATTCATTGTAAGTATATGGGCTTTTCTACCTTATTATTGTCCCTTTACAAACCGCTGAACTAAAAAATTTGATAGCTATACATTTCTTAGTTTAAAAATTTTTATACTCAAATCAAGAAGCTGAACTTCTTTAAGATTATTTTTTTGATTCAAGTTAATTTTTTTTTCTGTGTAATTCCTTTTTCTCATTTAATAAACTAAGCTATTTAGTTTGTTTCTTGAAACTTGTATCCTTTTTTAGAGGCCCTTTAATTTTTCAGATATTTAGCATTGGTAAATACTAGTAAATGATTTTTTGTTGTAGATTTTTAGATAAAATTATTTAATACTTGTATTAATGCTGGAATTACTTTGCAGAGAACAGAAAATGTGGAGGTTTTAGAAGCTCGCCATCCTGTTTCAAACTCGCTTCATAATCAAGAAATTCCTGATGAAAATTTAATCAGCACTCCTTTAAGTAGTACTATTAGCTGTGATGTATCAAACAATCAACAAAGACAGCCACTAACACTTGAATTAATACACGTAAGTTCAAAACATCTCTAGTATACATACTGCTTAATTTGTTTTATGAATACAAAAAAACCATAAAAATATATTCGTCTGAAATTACTGTAATTTACTTACTTCTCATTGCTTTACTTTATTCTTGGTAGCTAAGTTCAAATTACAATAATCATTACAAATAATTTTGACGATTAAATTGGAATACTCCCAATATCTAGAAATTCAATCCAATTAAAATCATTTTTGATCGTTAAAGCACCAAAAATTTCATCGGAATCCCTAAAACTTTCAGCGCATTAAAATTTCTGAGCTTAAATCTAAACATATATACAAAGTCATTTTATTTGCACGACTTAGGTCTTTTCAAAATTTTTTCTTATGATCAATTATTCTTTTTATGCATTTATATCCATTAATAATAATAATATTTTTATTAGTATGCATTTAATAATTTATTATTGTATTTTAAATTTAGGTTGAAACATCTTCAACACCTCCAGTAGCCAGCGAATTGGCTGATGGTCTAGAGTATATTCCAATCATATTCGAAGAAGATTTTGACAAACTAATGATTTCCCTTGAAACAAATATTGGATCGACTATTGATAAATATCAACAACAAGTAAAAATGCGACGAGTCACTGAAATTTTGAATAAATTTCATGGTACAGAAACTGAATGTGATAAATCGACATTAGGGTCGCTTTCAATACATTTAAGTCAATCTCGCGGGCGTAGTAGAAGCCGAAGAAACCGTGTTATTGGTTTACCAGCTAGTGGTAGAAAGAACAGTGTTGAATCCTTTGAAAATTTGGGTATAGCTAATAAAAAAAAATATTTATTGGAATTAATCTTAAGTTCTGACCAAGGTTTCATTAAGGAAGTTGCTTTCGCTACAAAAAAAATCGAGATCTGCAACATAATGCATTTAGAAGTTAATATGCCTGATGCGTTAGGCAGTGAACTTGTTCAGCCCGAAATTCTCAATAGATATTTCGAGGGTGATGCTTATAAAAAATTAATAAACTTGATTAAAAAAAAACGTGAGGGTACTGATTGGAGCTGTGACATGTGTCACAAAGATTTGGGTATTAGTGAAAGTATTGAATGCGACAAGTGCTTATACTGGAGCCATTGGGACTGCGTTGGTATAAAAGAGGAACCGTCTGATTGGTTCTGTCCAAAATGTCAGAAGGCATAGATTCTAGAAAGCATAAGTAGTAGTAGTAGTCGTAGTAGTAATAAAAGTGAAATCATTAATAATAAAAATATTAAAACAGGTATCACTGACGTCAATAAAATTGAAAGAACTGAAGCTACTGACACTACTACTATTAATATTACTATCATTTTTTCAAGCGTGATAAATGTTTTGAAACTCATTATTAGACTAGCTAAAAGTATAATAAAGACAGTGGAGGACGTAGTCATAGATTATTTAAATTTCTTTGTATTACATGTCTTATGATTTTTGATGAAATATTTGTTGTGCACTAGTATATTGAAGAAGATGCCCGTTTAAACTTAATAGTTATTAATTTAATTCTTAATATTAAATTTAATAGTAATAAAAACAGTTGTTAAAGTATCAATAAACTTGTATTTGTATTGTGTTGAAGTAGCTTGTAATCATCATTGTAATAACTGTGGAAGATATCTTATGTTTATTGCCTTGAAGAAATATCAGAAGAAACCCCAGAAATTGTTTTTGAAAAAAAAATTATTCTTCTTGGTCTTATCACCAATTAAACATCCAAGTTGTACAGCTTTTGTGTAACCTTCACAATCATTTGGTTAATGTAAATTTTTGTATAATTTGTTATTGACCATCCAAAATTGTTGACTAAATCAACAACAATACCAAGAAAAATAGCACCAGTACCAGTATCGGTGGCAGGTATAATACCTGTATGTTGAATAATATCAACATCAACAACTATCGGTTAAACTTTTTGCCTTATTTATGAGCTTCAAATTAAATTCATTAAAAGGTGTAAATCTACACAATTATTCTTATAGCCTTTAATCAATATTTATAAACTAGTGTTATCAAAGTGAAAACTACTCAAGTCTATAGAGCATTAATTATTTCATTAGATAAAAAACCTTAATTGTGAATTTAATAATAAATATTTCGAGTAATATTTTGGAGTCGTACTAAAAAATAATAATACTAATAAACCCATACCAACAATTTTAACTTTAATTGATTGCATTGCTACTGATCAGTAATCAATGTATCAATGTATCAATGTATCAATGGTTTAGGAAGAAAAGACCTATATGTGCAATATATACTCAATACAATAAGTATCTATTTTATTTATATTTTTATTATTATTACTTACTCCCTTTGTCTAGATGACGAGCTAGACTCAGACAGAATAATAAAATAATATTTCCTTTAGCCGTCACATGAGAAAAAAATCGGGAAAACGACTGACCCTAAAGGCCATCCCTGC